CAAGTAGTACAAACATTCACAGGGAAAAACACATGACATATAGATATTGAATAAAAATGGTGGAGGGGGATGATAGGCTGATAATGGCTCCCAAAGATATGCAGGTCCTGGTCCTGGAACCTGTAAATATTACCTTATATGGAAAAAGTACTCTTTTAGAGGTGATTGCATTTAGAGTCTTGAGATGGAGTATCCTAGATAATCCTGGGCCCTAAATGTAATCATAAATGTCCTTATAAGAGGGAGGCAGAAGGGGATTTGACTGCAGAGGAGAAGCTGATGTGAAGAAGCAGAGGAAGTTTTGAAGATTCCTTGAAGACTGAGCAAAGGACCATGAGACAAGAATGCAGCAAGGTGTGCAAGATGGAAAAGTCAGGAAAGGCATTCTCCCCAAAGCCTCCATGGAGAGAACCTTGATTTCCCCTTATAAAACCCGTTTTGGACTTCTGACCCCCCACCCCAAAAACTGTAAGAGAATAAATGTGTGTTGTTTTGAGTCATCAAGATTTTGGTAATTTTACCATCGCTAACGTGGTCTCCACTTGGATCTCTTGAGTATAACTCTTTCCCTCAGTTAGGGGGCCTCAAGCTATATATCCAGGAGTCATAACAGTGGCAAAACTCTCCAATGTGGGTTTTTTGTCTGATACTTCGAGTGGATTATGAAAGTGGACTGTGAAGTCAGACATCATAGATTCAAATCCAAGCTCTTTTTCTACTTCTAGTTATGGCACTTTGAGAAAATTATTTATCCTCTCTGTATTTCCGAGTCCCCACTGTGAAATGGAGATAATAATAATGACCAATCACCTAATAGAAAATTGTGGGAAATCGTTGAACAGACACTTCACGAGAGAGCATATCCAAATGGCAAAAAGTAGAAGAAAATGCTATACCTCGTTGATCATCAGTTCACTCACCATGTGATATCGCTACTACCCAGCAGAAGGGCTAAAATAAAGAAGACTGACAAGATCAAGTCTTGACGAAGAAGTGAAACAACTGAGACTCATACACAGTGAGCGAGTGCAGCCCTGTCTTCAGACCCGGTCAAGACGGGTCTGCCCTGGCCCTCCCTGGCCCTGCTCCACCCCGTGGAGTAAGGAGTCCATGGAGCCCAAGAACTTGCCCACCCAAGACCCACACCCCTTCCTCTCCTGGACAATAGTCTAGACAACCAGGACTCCGGAATTTCCTGCCTGAATGGGCTTCTTCTCTAAGCCCATTTCTCAAAGGCAAGCCACATTGCTGGTGTGTGCAAAGCTTGATCCAGGGGATGGTGAAAGGGTGGCTGTGTAGACAGAGCCTATGCATATTAGACTTGTTGCAACACAGGACAGAACCAAGGATGGGGAAGAATGCCAGGCCTTGGACTAGGGAATGAGAGCCAGCTCTCCCCATGCTGAGGATACCTGGCACAATCACTGTGAACAATGGTTTGGCAGTATATGTGTATCTCATGTATATATGTGTGTGTGTAAACATACACACATATATAAACACACATACAAAAATATGTTGATTTCTGTTGGTCCTGGAGATATGTATATAGTATGTAGTTAGACACATGCATATTCTTAGACAGAAAGAGCACCACTATTCATTATAGCCCCAAACTAGAAACAACCAAAATTTTCTTTAGCATTAAAAATGTATAAACAAATCACAGTATAATCATACAGTGGAATGCTGACACCAATAAAAATGAATAAACTGCTGTTACAAGCAACAACGTGGACAAAGCTTACAAATACAACATTGAGCCAAAGAGGCCAGATACAAAAGGGTATGCACATATGATTCCACTTATATAAAGTTCAAAACCAGGCAACACTGATGTATAACGACAAGCCAGGATAGTGATAGCTTCGGGAAGGGGGAGGGTAGTGACTGGAGGTGGGGGATGCCACTGGGTTGCTACCAGTGTTCCACTTCCTGATCCGAGTTATAGTTTCACAAATGTTCAATTTGTGAAAATTCTTTGAAATGTGTATTTTCTATGTTCTATGTTCATTTTTCTTCTATAAAAATATTTTAAAACAAAAACTGTATCTTATCCCATAGGCTTGTTGTGGGGATTAAATAATTCAATAGTCACAAGCTCCTGGGACAGAGTAGGACACATGGTGAGCACTGTGTTCTTGTTGTCATCATACCTAAGATGTCATTGCTCTCTAAAACAACCCTGATTCCTTCAACTCTTATTTCTAGGATCTGTAGCACCTGCTGATGATCCTCAGAGCAAAGTGGCTGATCAGATGACCAGCAGTAGCCCCATTTGGTTGTCAGCTACTATACTTGGTGCCGTGTGTGAGATGTGGTAGTCACGCACTCCAGTCTCTGTGCGAAGGAAGCTGAGGGTCTCCCACCCCAGATCAGCAGAAGAGCCACTGGCCCTAGGACGCTAACCCAGAATCCTCAGAAGTCTTTGCACCCTTTCGATATACTCCTATTGCATTGTGTGTTCTTCTCAGTAATTGTTGCCTTCAATAGGTGTCTTCCAATGTAGCAGGGGCTAAAGTGAGAGCAGAGACTGTCTCTTTTTTTTTCCTTTCTTCCCAGTGCTTAGCACTGGGTCTGGCACATGAATGATTCTCGATAACTCTGAATCAAAGAAAGAACTCCTGACCCACAGCAGGCATGTAACATGTTAATCACATCCCTCCCCATCTCTTTCTCCCCTCCTCTTTTTAATTTTTTTCTCTCTTCCTCTAGTATTTTCTTTCAGCCAGGGGAACCTATATGAGACAGAAGCCTTTGAATCTCTTCCTATGAGACCCTTTATTTATTAGCAGTCTAAACTAAACAGTCTACGTGGTTTAAACTGAACCAGTGGCTGAACCCACCTTAAAGTGACTGCATACGCCCAGTGAACACTGTGATTTTACTCTCTAATGGGACAAATGTTTCCACTGAAGAAATTCATCACTAACTTATCATTTAAGCAGCAAACACCTGCAGTAGCTGGGGTCTTTCTGGATGGTGGGTGAAGCTCCCAAAGAATCATTCATCCAAGTGAAGTGAAAGATGAATACATTCAACAGCTGACAGCAACACAACCCACTTTATCTGGGGCCAAACATTTACAGTTTATGCACTTTACAGGTTACCATGAATGCCTTAAAAAGATGCCTCCAACAAGGGATAGAGGGTCCAAAGAGAGAACTCATTATCCTATGAGCATTTGCTTGTGATGTACAAGTACTGGTCCACATTTTTTTGCACATGATATTTTATTTAAACAAACTGAAAAAAAAACACTGATGTGTAATTTGTGGGCAAAATTAATTTCTAGGATTTTTTTCTATGACAGTACTCACTTATGTGCACAATGATAAATGAAAAGAAAGTTCATGGAATAATTGTTTGGAATAGTGAAAAATTAGAATCATTTGAAATGTTGATTGTTAAACAAAAACTCAAATTACGATACCGCCATACTCTGGAGTGATTTGCAGCTGATAAAAGAATCTAAAGTGTCCCTAGATGGATTGGCGTGGAAAGACACCCAAGTTATCAAAGGGAAAAACACTGCAGAATAGTGTGTGTTTATTTATATAAAAATTTAAAATGAAGAACTATGCTTATAAAATGCATAGAAAATCATCCAGAAGGATTTATGCCAAAAAAATTTCTGGTGGTTACTTTACAGAGGAGCAATTAGAGAAATGAGAAAGGGGAGGAGTCAGGGAGAGAAAGAGAGGATATTTTACTTTTTTCCTATTTATGTTTCCTATTTATACACTCAAGATTTGCTTGAATCTTTCACAGTGATCTTGTTTGTATTAGTTGAAAACTTTTTAGAAACTTTGAGGTATTGAATTACTTTGGAAACAGATTTGGAATGAGCTCCATTGCTGACGTTGGGCATTTACTTCATCTTTCTATCAGTTTCCCCAGCCACAAAATAATAACTTTACTACTTCATGACATGGTAGCAGGAGATGTTCTGTGTAAAATTTTTAGTCCACTGCCTGATTATAACAAAATTTATTTCTATAGGTTATAACTATTGCTGTGTAATAAAGCATGCCAAATTCAGGGTTTCAAAATAGCAAGATTTATTATTAGTCATGCAAAGTACAGCTTTTCTGATAGAAACTAATATAGCTCTGTCAGAGAAAGACTGATATAAACTACACTTGGCTGGGCTGCTCTGCTGAGGTCAACTCTGCTCCACACACCCCTCCTCCTCTTTGGACCAATGGGATAATTAGGGCATGTCCTTCTCATGGTGATGGCAGAAGTACAAACAGCACGAGCATGCAAAGTCTGTTAATGCCTTAGACTGAGAACTGACACACTGCCGCTTCTACTTCATTCTATTGGCCAAGTAAGTCACATGACCAAGCCCAAAGTAAAGGGGTATAAAAATATACTATGCTAAGGGTGATCAATAATTCCCAGTTGCCTAAGACTAAGGGGCTTCCCAGGATACAGTAATTTTCATGTGAGAACCAGGAAAGTCCCAGGTAAACCAGGACCAGTTGGTCACTCAATACCTCTCTAGTAGGATGATCTTCAAAATCACCCAGCAAAGAACGTAGTATAGGTACCCAGCGAAGAATTGGGGCCAATGATGCAATTTACTACACCTTTAATAACATTATTCTTTCCAACAACTAAGAAGACAGGCAAATAATAGGTAGTCAAAATTATTTTTGGTAGATTGGTTTTAGGTTGACCAAATAAAGCCAGATCCTCCCAAAGTCTCCGTAAACAGAGTATTTCTCAGAATAATCTCTTCAAATAAAATTGAAGATATTTTGGTAGCAAGGGGTTGTGTAATCAGATAGCTGATTAGGCTAGATTTTCAAAGCAAAGCTTAAGATGCTTTCAATCCATCCTTTTTTTTTTAAATTGAAGTGTAGTCGATTTACAATGTTGCATTACTTTCTGGTGTACAGCATAGTTCAGTTAGACACATACACATACACACACACACATATATATATATTCCTTTTCACATTCTTTTTCATTATAAGCCATTACAAGGTATTAAAAATATGGACCACTTTGTGAATTTACGTGTCATCCTTACACAGGGGCCATGCTAATCTTCTCTGTACGGTTCCAGTGTTAGTAGAGGTGCTGCCAAAGCGAGCTCTCAATCCATTTCTAACTTAATTTGACAGAAAATAAGATGAGTCTCTGTAAGACCAATGAGACTCCCTTACATCAAGATTTTTTCCTTCTCAGGAGAATGCTTATAACAGACTCTTAGCAAGGAAATGTTGCTTGACTTTTAATCATAAGTTTGTGCATGAACATTGATATTTATTTAGTTCCCCCGGCTTCACTGATCCTTTCCCCAAAACCCATAGTGTGTGGTTGTTCAGAGGTTAAGTCCATAGAGCAGCAGGGAGCTCTGCTCTGCCTGCTGCTTCCTGACCCCCGCCACTTCCCTCTTCCTGTCTAGACTGTCTATTTCTCATCTGAAGACAGACCCTTACTGGATAAGCTCAGTACTCAGGCACAAATCACAGTGAATGATCTCTCTGTCTTCACAACCATTTTCTTTATCTGAAACATGCCAAAAGGGAAGGCCTCTTAAAGCTCTCAGGCATTCTAGTTTTCAAATCTTAAAAAAAATAATTCTTTAAGGAAAAGCAGGGTTCTAGACATTTCTGTTGGGAATGGGCTGTTAAAACGCTTCAGGGTTCATTTTTGTATGGATTTGGAGACTGACATAAAAATATTAACTTGCTAATTCAAACATGTTCAACTGAGACAGCTGAGAGCTGACCGTCAAAAGCATTGGCAAGTCAACTTGTCAGTGTTTTGCAACTTTGGAGAAAGTCAGTGTTAGAGTTTAAGTGCCTCTAGGGCAGGCATCTGGCCACTAAGCTCTTCACAAATTCCAATCCAGATGTCAATACAAGGGAATTAAACTGCTTAGAGCACTTTTAATGATGAGCAACATGATGTTTAGATAGATGACCTTTAATTATAATCCATAATTTTAAAGGGACCCAATCATCAGCTTTATTACGCTCTACCCAGATTAAGTAAGTGGGCTTAACTAAAGAATAAATGCCTTTCTAGCTGCCCATCCTCCCTCACAGATGGACACTTGCCCCCTCTCTGACATTCCACAGCCTAGAGTTCTGAACAGACCACCTGCTCTAAAAGACCTAGAAGCAATTTAATGTAAAGATTTAAGAGGCTGTTAATCAGCTGGGGCTGATAAGACACTGACAGCATCTCTGTCTTGCCTAAGATTCCAGCACCGCTGAGCACCCGGGCCATTCCCAGCTCATGCGTAATGCGGGCAAGCTGGCCCCCCGAGTTGGGTTTCTTCTTAGTCCTTTTGATCCGTTTTCTTTCTTGTTTTCATTTGATGAGACAGGTGTTCAAGAAGTATATCATTCCAGAAAGATGTAAAAAGGCATGGGGTAAACGATAATCAGCAGTGTGGCTCCCCCCAGTCTTTCCCTAAATGATCTCAGATTGCATTATGACCATAACAGTGAACCAGAATGCTGAGCTTACCGGTTAACCACGACGTTCTCTGAGCAGGGTGGACCAACCAGCATTTTATTAGAGCAGGCTGACGAGTAAAGAGGAATAAGACAAAGGGGTGATGTTCTCTCAGCATTTCAAATCATCAAGGGAATTTTTAAAATTCAAGACAAACACATACCTTGAATTGAAAGCTACTCAGGGGATAGGAAATAAGGAGGAATCTATTATGCCATAGAAATGTTCTCCAGAGATCTGGGGCAATTTTTTTTCCCCTTAACATGAGCCGTTGATTAATGACTTGGGGAAAAAGAATGTTTAGGGAGTTAGAGACTTGTAATTTAATTTCCTTCTGAGAGTAAAAAGTGTAGAAGGAGGGACATCCACCTGAGTAATTAGAGTTAGAAGATTTAAGTCCAGGAAAAACAAGGAAATGAAATTAAGTTAGGGATTCTTATAGAAAGAGATGGAAGCATGTAATATAAAGTCTTCATAGAGATGGAAATGATAACTAACAGTTTCTAAGGGCTAATTCTGTGCTAGGAACTTCCCATCTTAATTCTGTTCTCTAGGGCAGGCACTACCACATAGTCCATCAATTCTAAAATAAATGCATACAGAGATAGATTTTATGTATTTAAATTTAATATACACATATAATATCATATATATAGCTCATATGTGCCATAATATCACATAGATAGATTGATAGGTAGGTAGATAAACACATATATATGGAACATTTTAGCACAGAATTGATGTCACCTTACAATCACCATAGACCAGAGGGCAGACATGATGTAATTCTATCATTGTCTGTGAATGTGTAAACTCATAATACTGTCACTTCAGTTTGACTTATGCACATTATTGGCACTGCATATGTTGGGTTTAATTGCTGTTTAAAAATCTTTTACACTATGATCCAGTATTTAAACTAAGGATTATTTTTACAAGCAGAACCAGCATAAAAACTGAGTAAGAAATTAGATTAAATTTGGTGTTTGTAAAGCAAGTATTCATCATAGGAAATAAAGACTCTGAGTCTATATTTTCTTACAAAGCAACAACCAGCATTGGTGGTGTAGTGGTGAGCATAGCTGCCTTTCAAAGCAACAATCAAATGTTTTATGGGACCCTAAGAAATGAAGCTACCAACGAATAGATGAAGCTGTGATTTTTCTTACTGAGATTTATGCAAAATAATTTTCTATTATATGCCAAGCAATGCAAATGAAGGCAGGACAAATGACCAAATCCTCAAGAATAGCTTAAGGACAATTCCACACTTGGAGAGCCTAGTTTGACTAACTCATACATGATTAGCAGTATTGTTTTCTAATTTTCTAATTGGTACAGAAAATCATGGTATGTCTTTTGTCTATGGCACTTAGATTCAATTAACTATTCAATTAACATCTTTTCTACAGATAAGAATTGAGAGGCTCAGATAAATTAAATTACTTGCCCCAAAGCCCACAGGAGGCAAGCTCATAAAGATATCCTTTAGAATGAGGTGGGTCTGATTCTGGAACTTACAGTCTTAATCATTAGGATAAATTACTTCCCAAATCAGGGGAAGTAGATGGTTCTTTGAAAAATTATCAGGTCATGGCAGTTCTCTGCTCAATAAATATTCATCTCAGAGTAAAAGTCAAGAAGTCCTTTCACCCTACCAGATGAACCTCAGGGCATCTTTGGTCCTCCCCCCTCCACCTACTACCACCTCTCAATCTCATCTCCTACTGCTCCCCTCCCTCACTCTGCTCCAGTTCCACTGGCTCCTTGCTTTCCCCTTGCTATACAAGCAAGCCACTGCCACTTCCAATATGCTTCTACCTCAGGGCCTTTGTACTGGCTGTTCTCACTACTTGGACTACTTCCCCACCACCCTATATAAAATAGAAGTACCCCACCCCATCCCAGACCCTCTCTATCCCCTTTAATGTGTTTTGTTCTCTCCATAGCATATTACTATATGAAATATTATATATGCCTTTGTTCACTTGCTAATTGCTTGCAACAATGTAAGTTCAGAGGGCAGGGGCTTTGTTTTGCACATTTCTGCATCTGTATGGAGAGTGGGTATCTGATAAATAAATGAAAAAATAAATCTTCCTCTGACAATGTTAGAGGATGACTATCTTTACTTTCTGTTTTGTCGATTTCAGGAAATTATCTTAAATTGGCAGCTATGCATTATTATTACTTAATAAATCAGTGTTTCTGTTTTTCACTCTACTGGGGGCTTAATAAGGAGTTATGATTTTATAGTAGAATGTTTACAAATGCAGATTCCAGAGCCAGAGGACCTGGATTTTAATGTTGGCTTTACCAACTTGCCTATGTGACGTCATGAAAGTTACTCAGCTCCTCAGAGTCTTACTTTCCTCATCTGTAAAATGGAGACAATAACAGGACTGATTTCTAAGGATTCTAATAAGGACTAAATTAAGTAATACAGGTACATGGCCTGAGTCGTGCTAAGTATTTAATGAAATATGTATTTTGATTGGCAAATTATTTCCAACTTATCTAACAAGAATTGATAAGATGATTCTCAATCAGGGGAAATTTTTCCCCCAAGAGACATTTGGCAATGCTGAGGATGATTTTAGTTATCACAGCTGGGATGCTACTAGTATCTAGTAGGTAAGAAATCAGGGATGTGGCAAACATCTTACAATGCAGAGGGCCCCTTCCCAACAAAGAATTATCGACCAAGATGTCAATAATGTCACTGAGGTGAAACCCTCAGAGAGAGAGAACATTTGTTTCAACCTACTACAAACTCCAATATTTCAGAAGAAGTAAGAAATTTAAAGGGGGACTTTTTTTTTAAGCTACCACCACTCCTTCTGTCATTCCTGTAAAATCAGCTTAGTAATAAAAATTCACACTCACATTGCGCCACTCTAGGCCTGGCCTTAAATGTCTTCTTACTGTTGCCTTTTAGAATTTATGGCCGAGTACATGCAGGTGCTGCTTTCCAGACCCCAGAATTCTCAGGCAATTTTCCTTGGAGAGTCTTGTGTTGATTATCTCAGTTCTGGATTAGACCACTAGAGGGTAGAGAAACACCATCAATCATGCAGCTTTTAGATGCCAGACTCGGTTTTCAGTCGTGTAAATCTTAATAAAATTCTAAATTCTTCCTGGCCCCTAAGATAAAAACTACCCAGGATATATTTATTAAGCACCTCAATAGGCACACAGTTTAAAAGACTGGATTCAAGCATTTCACTCTGTCCTCAGCCCCAAACTGTGAAGTATGGTAGTAATTTAATTCAATGTCCTATGTTAAATGGAAATGTAATAAATAACCTCTGGTGGTATTGTGATGAGTATGAGACTATTATGATGCTATTATGATAATATTTTATGACTATATTGGTAAAATTCCCTTTGATGAAGATTTGGTTATACTATGAGTTAAATCATATCAAATATATATATATATTTATATATATTTATAATCTTACTGACCAGGAATTGAGCAAAAGCTAAGCAGGAAGTGGAACCTAACCATGAACTCCAAGTTGGAATAAATAGCATTATTGTGCTGAACCTGAGCCAAATACAAACCAACGCATTAATGATTATTGTCCTAAAAATAATACATAAGGACAAACCTGAAGGACTGAAATAATATTATGACATCACAAAATACTTCAATATTTCTCAATTTCACACATTCAGGGTTAGAATAGAGGCACTGAGGAAAAAAAAAAAGAAAGGTTGTAAAAAACTTTAGGAAGAAAAGATTAAAGAATTATTTTAAAGAACAGAGTCCCCAGCTGTTTCTCCTTTCAGCTAAAGATTAACAGAAGTGTGGATACAAATATTGCACAAGTGAGTCCTAAACGTGTTCTTGTAGTATCCCAAGCTGTTCATATTTATCTCTAAAGAGATTGTGAAATTCTAGGCAAAAATAGTTTTAATTTTCTTTGACTTACACACCCATGCACACATACAAGCATAGATAAACAAAAATGCCGTGTATTTTGACACAGAGCTGAAGAGCTAAAAGATCCTGTCAAATCCAGTAATTAAGAATAGGGATCAAGGATTCAGAAATGTTTAAGTATCACCCTAGAAAACATCAGGCTTTAGAAGTCTGTGTAGAACAGTGGTTAACTACAGAGGTCTGATAACAGACTATCTGGGTTTGAAATCTGCCTCTACTGGTTAATTGTATTTTTCTTTTTTATGGAGGTATAGTTGATGTACAGTATTATGTAAATTTCAGGTGTACAATCTAATGATTCACAATTTTTAAAGGTTATATTCCATTTACAATTATTATAAAATATTGGCTATATTCCCCGTGCTGTACCATATATCCTTGTAGCTTATTTATTTTATACATAGCAGTTTGTACCTCTTGATACCGTGTCCCTGTCTTGTCGCTCTCTTCTCTGTCTCCACTACTGCCACCCCTCAAGCCAGACACAAGAGTAATTATAATCTATAACAGAAAAAGCCTCTAAAAACCTTGTGAGGCACCCTTTTAAAAGGTCAAGTGAAGTAGTGGGAACACCACTTTTTCCTTTTATCAGGTTCTAGAAAGATTTACTGGATGCTGAACTTTTTTTTTTTCTGTCTGTAACAACTGGTTATCATTAACTTGTGATAAGACCAGATCCAAGAGGGAATGTTATCCAGGAAGTGGGGAATCTAAGGAAAGGAAGAATGTAGGGTAAACGCAGAATCAAAATCTTACCATGCCAGCACTGAAACATGACAACATGACATTTCCATGGCAACAAGACCTCCATGTCAGAGTACATGGATTCCAGGGTGGAGAGCACACCGCCGCACCACTCCCCACCCCAGCACTTCATTCAACTTCAGTTTCATTTCATTCAGAAAAGTCTTCATTTGGGAAAGTCAGTTCCAAAACAGAGAAGCCAAAATGTCAGATGCTCAACGTATTAAGGTATAATTCCATTAGCGAAAACTCACTAACCCGTACCACAACCAGCCATATAATGCATCAGTATATTATGTATTCCATCATAGCAAGACCAAGTTGCTCAGAAATTAAAAAATATTCATGAAACTGAAAATGAGTACAATGATGTCTGTATTAATATTATCCTCTTTATTTTTACTGGATAAGGCCTCTCTAGGTGAAAAATGCCTTTAAGTATTTTTTTACACCACAGAGCATAATTGTGAAGTGACCAGACTCTAGAAACAGGTGGGCTGGGTTCCTGGCCTTGCCACTTATTGTATAACCTTAGTCAAAATACCTAACTCTCCATGCCTCAGTCTTCTCATTTGTAGAGTAAGAACAAGGATAGTTCAGACCTCTTAGGATCTTTGTAAGAATTAAATGTGTTAATATACACAAAGTACTCAGTGCCTAGCACATTACAAGCACTGTATAGGTGTTTGTCATAATAAAAATAATTATTATAAATTATAATGATCTGATAGAAAATTTCATACTGTCTTTAGATGCTCAGTTTTTATTCTGATTAAATTTGAGAAGTCCTATTTGCCATGCTTTAAACATTAAAAAAAGTATACTATTATTATATGCAATGGCTACATGAGTAAAAAGGACTTTAAAAGAAGCGAAAAGTTAGTTCAATTAGGGCTTTCAATTTTTCTTCATTTTTTTTTGTTTTGGGGCACTGTGCAAAGTATTCTGCTACATCCAATTACAGTTCAGGACAACCCCTAGTGAATGAATGAATGATGAACAGAGCAGTTTCATGACCAACCAGCAGCCAGCCCCATTCATTCTAATTGTGGGACTGGATCGGAAATTACTTAGCAACCACTTGAGTAAATGATGGGGAAGGCTCTGCAAAGCAGTTTCATAATTGTAATCAAGCAAACATCATTAAAGACTTTCTCCTGACCGTATTTCCTGAGCTTTGCTTATCTGCAAGTCATCAGAATAAACAGATCCAATTAAAGAAAACAGAGACGTACTCCTCAGATCATAGATGCCCAGAAACATGTGGTTTCAAAGCCCTGGGAGGAATGCTTGATGGATCCTTTGGCTCATGTGAGGACAAATACAATATTACATGTGCTGTAATGTTTTGGATGGTAAATCTTTACCAGGACATGAGATTAATGTCTTGTACGATCATATTTAATCCCTGGGTAGGACTGCCACTTAAATATTTCTTCTCTATGCCACTCATTGACACAGTTCTAGCTCCTTCCTACCGTCTGCATCTAATCTTCTAAGAGCCTAGAGTCAGAAGAATCTGAGAAGCTGAGTTCAGCCTTCCAGGGATTTTCCTATTGGTGCTCATGGACTGTAGCATGAACACTTCAAGCTGAAAATTCCAACTCCCCTCAGGGCAGTTCATCTACTGGATACACCTTTGTAGAATACCTACTATGTTACATATATTGGGTTTTGTGTTAGGAATACAACATTAGATAAAATTAATTTTTTGTTTGCAAGAAGCACATTATCTGCTGGAAGAGAGGTGTGAGAAAACACATAGTGACAAAGCAGTGTGAAGTAGTCCTATAGGAGTAAGTACAGTGTGCTGTGTTTGTGTAATAATCATTAAAAGAGTTTACATTTACTTTCTATCAAGCACTGTTCTAAAATTCTACATGCAGTAACTCTTTCACCCATATGATATTCTTGCAAGTAAACTGAGGTGCTGATAGGTTGAATCACTTACTCAGAGTCACATGGTGAGTGTTTCAGTCAGTTTAGTTGAAACATGAACCCTACCCTTGGAGAATTAAGAAGACTTCTCTTAGAGGAAGTAGGAGGAATATGAGGACACCTGAGAGGTGAATATGGGTCAATTAGACAAAGTAGAGGAAAGAGCATCCTAGGCAGAACGGAAAAATGTGTACCAGCATCACCCTCGGATCCAGCACTGGGACCTGGTGCTCTAGTGCTCCTCCAGCTCAGTCCCTTCCTGTGCTTACAGAGTCTGCAGGCCCAAGGGCTACTGCCCACCCAGAACCCATTCCCACACTTTCCATTCTAGACAATGCTCTAGAAACCAGGACCCCAGAAGTCCTTGCCCCAGTGGCTCCAGGCCCCCTTGCAGAACCTGTGTGGCTTCTGTCCTCCTAAGAGAGGGCCAAATTTGCTTATGTGCTCATTGCTAGGGAATGGTCATTTGCAGGGGGTGTGGACGGCACCTGGTTGTGCAGGCTGGGTTGTCCAAACACTCACGTGCAAAACATGTCGTGTAGGACAGATCAAGGTGGGAAAAGAAGGCTGGTGGACTGGGTGCTGAGTGCTCTCCTGCTCTGTGCCATTCTGATGTGGAACTCTGAGGAGTCCGAGAATTCAAAATCTAAACGTAGCTTTCTAGGTAGTTATAAAGGCATTTTTGTCAAAGGTGAAGGATAGAACACATTTTATGTAACGTGGTGGTAGCTTAACCTACCCATTTGAAGAATTTAGAAATATGGCCTGTGACCTCCATCTGTACTCAAGTTCTGGGCCCTACAAATGTTAGAGGTAAACTTCCTGTGTGTGAGGGATGAAGATGAGAGAGAGCAGAGGTTGCCTGGGAAACTAAAAGTAGGTTGGCAAAGCTCAGTCCTGGAATGGGAAGCAAATAGCTCAGGGATGTTTTGCCTGCCTAGTGACTTGAAGTTAATTTGGAAGGCTGCAGAGATCATTGCAGAGTTTAAGCTGGAGAGTAAGCCAGCATGGGGTTTGGAGCACTCACATCACACGGGTCAATCTGCTCTGTCTCCAAAGGAAACACACGATGATGTTTTTATTCTTGCCTCTTCACTTTGCCTCTATCCAGCAGCAGGAAAGAAAAAGAATGGCAATGTGTTATGGCTATAGGAGTCCAAATAGGAAAGTGTGGTGTAGTTAGAAGAACAAACATATGGGAGAAAAAATACAGCAATCTGATGGTCTTACCTGACCTACTCAGTTGGAGAGAGCTTGAAATCACATATTCAGAGAGGCCAGGCAATCAAGACAAAGCCCAAGATCCCACAGACGTCAAGGACAGGATGTCTGGGAATGAGTCAAGGGCAAGGATCAGAGCCAGGTAGGTAAATCAAAGAACTAACATAGACCTAATGCACATAAAAGATACAGAGTCCTTGGAATGAGGCTTGCTTCACCCCTGGAGTGCAGCAGGGGACTCCCTGTTCTTGATTGACTCCCCAGAGCAAGGCCAGTGGTGCTGGGTGGGGCTTCAGATTAACAGGGCAGGTCTCTCATAGCATTGGCCACACAAGACTGCATCTAACCACAGTTGATGGACATTGACAAACAGAATCCTCCTTCAGTAGTTCTTATCAAATTTTATTGCCAAAAATAACCTAACTTCCTCATGGGGAATTATCCTTCCACCACCATATGTGATTTGGGGGAAAGAAAAAAACAACTCCAACTGAATTTCCATCAACAGGGCGGAACTTTGGATGATTGTCCCCATCTCACCTTAGAACCAGGTGGTAATGATGTGATTTAACTTCAACCTATCAAGCACTCACCCCAAGACTTGAAAATGAGTCAAGACTGATAAGAGCTGGGGTGCAGATTGTTGCAGCAGCAGCCTCTGGGGTGTCGAGAATTACTGCTGTGATGGTAGCAGGAATGCTAGGGTAGGTTCTTGACCAGATTGCTCCAAGACAATGACCTTGTAGATAGAAGATGCTGCCCACCCTTTCCCCAAGCCTCCTGTGAGCTCCCTTCATCCTGTCAATAAATCCCCAAAGGCTCCCATAGAACCAAAAAACTTCCCATCTATGCCATGAGCAGCTCTTGCCCCCAGACCAGCAAGGCAGTTTGAAACTCTGGAACTTGCTGCTCAGAATTATTTGTGAAGATACAGATTTTCAACCATAGTTTAAACTGGCCAACCAGTGGCTTCTGCATTTTTAGCAAAGTGCATTTAACACAATGCTACATTATGTTTCTAAGCTTTCTCCTCAAATTCCAGGAAAGGCTAATTGTGACAGACCCACTTGGCTATCAGCTTACTCTGGGACAGTGGTCCCCAAAGGAAGAGGAGTTATTTTTTCATTTCCCTAGAGCCCCATGATTCCTGATACTCTGGTGAAGAGTGAGAGGATGCTGACAGGGCAGTCAATTTCCTGAGGCAGAGAGGGAAGCCTCCACTGGCCCTGCTCTCTGCACACAGGAATACTGACAACCTTGAACAGGGAATACAAAAGAAGGGAGAAAAAGCAATGCATGGGGTGTCTGGATCTTAGCTACTGGCTACCAATCACATTTGAGCAGATAGATTTTCATTAAAAATGTCATCTTGAAAATTAGAAAAGCATACACACACATATGCGACTAAACAGATGTTTCTATTCCTCCTCCTCTCCCTTGCAAAGTACTCACAGGAAACACATGTCTGTGTTGTCCTAAGTCCAGTTACTAATTAGCACGTTTCAGTAGCACATTTCACGGAGGATAGGGAGGATTTCAAAGGGATTCCTTCCTTTTAAGTTGAGACAGCTGGTGCTAATTACCAAGCAGGAAAAGAATGTGCAAACATATCATTGAGAAGCCATCCATGGAACAGAAGGCTGAGGGGTCTTTTGGTCCTATGGTAGAACTCCTCTCCAGTGGTTGGAAGGGGCTGCATACTGTCTGCATCTTCACCTTAGCCCCAGGAAGCAGCTGTCCAGTTTCATCACCCTGCAAGGAGGTGGGAAACACAGTCCAAGAACATGAACTCAAAGGTCATTTCACAGTATGCATGTAAATTATACAAGCCCAAGCGCTTGTAGTAAACCATTTCCTTCTCAAAGATGCACGGCAAAATAGAAGCTAAGCATGGCCTTTATTCTTTCAAACAAACCCAAGGGGGTTTTCAATTCAAAATTCATCTTTATAATTGTGTTGCTATGAAAGAGGGTGATCCAGACACCCCAGAGGATGCCTGGTAAGGAAAAAAAAAATCCTGATTCTAAATCAGTCACACCTCTAATGAGAGGAACAGTAGACCAGAAATCAAGAGCTTTCTGATAATCATTGTGAGACTTTGGGAAAGTTAGTTTTTCTGAGCCTCGGGTTTTCATCTGTAAGATGGAAATAATGGGACCTACCACATGGCTGTATGTGAACGTTCTAGAATATTATAAAAGGACAATGCATATTGAATTTGAATCTCTAGAAAAAGGTAAAGTTATTGGGTATCTTTGGAATGTGATTTCCAGCAAAAACCAACCAAAGTTATCTCAGCCCAGTGGAAGTATATGATTACGTTACAGAGGAAGTTAGTTGTCCTGGGTTCTGAGGCTATCTGGAGAAGACAGAAGGAAGGAGAAAATTCCAATTTGTTTCTAGAGAAGATAGAAACTAATGGGATTTTAGGAACTGGCTTCACAACTAGGAACAATTATGCGGAGACAGTGTAGCAGAGTGACTAAAAGTAAGTTCTGAAATCTTACTGTCTCGGTGTCAAATTCTGCTCTACCAAGTTCCACCTGTGTGATCCTAGGCAAATCACTTGACTCCCCAACTGTAAAATCAGGGAAACAGTAATGACACCACTTCATGGAAGGCTTCCTTGTGAGGATTAAATGAGTTGTAAAATAGGCACAATGCTTGACAGATTGTAACTTTCATCTCAAATAGTATCAGTATTATGAAGAAAATGTTAGTGTTATTATAGTCACAGAACTGAGTAACAAGTTCATTTTCCTTTATTTTTATTTTATGAGTGCTATCAGTTAACATTAGTCGTTTACATTGTGCAGCTTTTATGCATATTGATTTATTCAATCCTCGTAACAACCCTATGAGATATCTTAGTGAATAGCAGAGCTGGGATTTGAACCCAGGCAGAAGCTTGCTCTTAATCATGGCACAAATTGATGGGGGTCAGTGATCGAGATGGCGGGGGTAGTTTAAGGGTGAACTACTTGTTACAATAGCAGTTTGTACAGCTGGATTTGAATCTGAAAATTTTACACATGCTTGCTAGGCTGATTGTCCCCCTGCACATCATAACAGGAAATATACTCAGCTGTTTTGACATTAGAAAGTAGCCATGCCTTGACTTATCCAAAGCTTTACCATTTGTTCTTTTCTCTCCTTCATTATTTCTATTTTCAGGAAACTGAAAAAATTCTTAAAAATAAAGGCAGTGTTCCCCCATTCCAAATATTCTACTTTTAAAGACAAAAATAATAATGCAAGATAAATTTGATGAGTCAAATACCATTGAAAACCCACTTAACACCCATATTCACTGTCTGAAAAGTTCCAAGTTCTATCATTTTTAACAAAGCCTAAAGATTTCACTCAGCTCTTTTCATGTCAAAGAAAAAGGAATTTCTGAATCATTGTGCATGCTTTTTATGAAACACCTGATTTCTAGGAATAGGGCCTTGACCCATACCCTGCACATCAAGGAATTCAGTAAAAGCTTGTTGATTGCTTAAGTGCCGATGCACAGTGTCTGGCTGATATGATGTGATATTTCCATCAGTGGGAAAATGTAGCAAATTTTTTATGCATAGGCTCCTTTGAACCTGTGAAGGCATACCTGGGAGATAGTTAGTGGCTGGCAATGAAGGCTGTAGATTATGTATAAGTCAGTTCTATGAGACTAGAGAAGGAAATTGTTTCATGCTTAAGACATACAGAAAGTCTGAGGAATGATACAAAGACAGATAGTGACAAACAAGATGGCCTGAACAAGCCTGGGGTCACTGAAAGAACAGAGTTTGTCTGAACATGCTGAGGTCATGCCAGCTGGTCCAAAACCTGCTCTCCCCGCCACTGGCTCTGTCACAGATTCCGGTTCTAGTCATGCCCATCGCTTGCCAACCAAGTTGCTACATCCTGCATCTGTGCTCTTATTTACACTTGGCTTCCTCTCCAACTTTTCTTCCATCTCTAATAATCTGTATCTCAGAATTTTCAGACACTTTATCAAAATTCACATGCCAGCTCCTCGAGTAGTTTTCTTTGCACTCAGTAGACCTTTACACAGTGAACCAGTACTTACAACTCCTTTGAAATTAAATTCTTGCTATTTAATTATTTACCAGGTCTTTCACACTTAAAATGTGTTCTCATTAAACTGCTTAGGAATAGAGTCCATCATTCTCACATCTTTTCTCTTTGCCAATGGATTGCTCCTTGTGTAAGGCATCACGCCCAGTAGATACTCCATTATTGTGGTAAATTGTCCAGAATTGCACTGCCTTCAACTTGTCCATGCCACTGCAGTGGCTCTACGGAAGATGTATAATTAGTTCTTGGTATTGTAACGAGAAGTCAGAACCATCAGTGTTGACTCTGCCAAAATCTACAGATAACATCTGCTCCAATTCAAGGAGCAGGTGGAAAGCTGCATGATCACAGTTCATGCATGGAAAGCCAGTTAACATGATGGTTATGAGCATGGTTTTAGGTGGGAGTTAACGCCCCATCCTCTGCCGCTTTATAGTTGGTTGAGCTAATTAACCTCTTCAACCTCAGCTATCTCTTCTGTAGGATGAAGATAACCCTAAAGTCCCTCTCAGGTTTTTAAAGAAGCGCTGCACCTGGGACAGAGGAGGCCCTCAATAAATACGCGCAATTAATATCGTGATCAAAACAGCCAAACTCTCAAATGTTTTAAAGACACAAGAGACTATTGCTAATGATGTGCAATGTATCCTGTTTTTTTGAGGTTTAACTTTTACAAACATACACATTTAGTATTTAAGTTATTCATAATTAATAGTTTTTAATCCTGAAAGCAGTGTGGCATCTAGGCATCACTGTGGCTTTATAGTCATTCAGATATGGATTAGAATTCTCGCTTTTCCACTTACTAGACAAATCGCAAAGAACAAATTGGCTAACGTCTTGAATCTTCAGTTTCCTTATCTGACAGGAAGGAAAAAACAGTAATTCCTACGTTGCAAGATGGTTAAGATTGCCTGTAAATCCTCTAGCAGTCAATGAAAGACAGCTGTCATGACTTCTGAGCCCTCTGTTTTCCTGATTATCCTAAGGGACAGCAGCAGTATAATTTTAAGATCGATCTGTAGCAGAAAGCTACATACCACAATGCTTCTCAGAGCTCTCCCTCTTCATCTTCCTAGAGGCATTCTCTCAGAATTGAGGCGAGTATTTGGGAACAGACTCATGTGGAAAAGTTTGCAGTAGGCAATTTGCGGACTCATTTTCTGTAGTGTTGGCAGAATGTGTGTTGTCATCACAGGCTGGGTATTGTCTTGCTTCTTGCAGTCTTACAATTGTCACACTGTGGCATGGCGTTATTTTCATCTCCATGATGGGCTGATTATAAGGTAATGCTGTATTGCCTGACCATTGTGCCAGGTGTCTGCTCTAATAATTCCAAGTGTTATTCCTTTAAAAAAAAAAACAAACGCTGAGACATGGAGGGGAAACAAGGAGCCACCAACCAGCCAGCACTTTAAACCACACCGCAAAGAGACCAGATGTTGCTAGGCTGTATTTTGTTTGAACAAGTTCTGCTTAATCTTCCCTGGGATCAAGTGAGGAATTCAACCAATGCCTGCCCAGAGCAATAAACTTGACATTTATTTAGCAACATCTGGAACTGAGGGCAGTTTCTTTTTCTTCTCTCCTCTGAGCCGAGTGGTGAGAAGGCAGAGGGAAGGAATAAAAAGCTCACCAAAGACCAAAATAAAAATCTAGGTAGTTCAATTCATTTTTTCCCTCCATAGTATACAGAATTGAATTAATCCAGCCTGCACCAGGGACTGTGAAAAATTCAGGGGGTATAATAATTATGACAAGGGCAAACATATAAATAAAAACCTAGTCCTGACCTAAAGAGGGTTATATTCTAGAGTTTTAACAAGCAAAAACCAAACAAACAAACAAATGAAAAAAAAATAATTACAAATTGAAATAGTAGCTTTGAGCATTTAAAAAAAATGAGAGAGAATAATCACAGGGAAGGGTACTTATTGCAGAAGTAAGCACCTGCAGAAGTTGTCATTTAAGCTGAGACCTGAAGAATGGAATGAGGGATGAATGTTTTCAGCTGAGGGAAGAGGATGTGCGTAGATCCAAAGGCAGGAGGAAACAGGGTGTTAAAGAGCCTGAGGGAAGAAGTCACCAAGAAGAGTGAGTAATGGGGAGAGTGGCAAGATGAGGATGGAAAAATAGTCAAGGACCAGCTCATACAAGGCCTTTAGGTCATGACTCATGTTGTTAGTAGAATAGGAGACCATTGAACAGCTTTCAGAAGGAGGAAGACATGACGTGATTTAGACAATCGAGTGTAACAATCAGAGGAGAGGCTAATGAGACAGACTTACTGAAGCTCAAATCATGGCTCAACCATGTATTAGCTGGGAGACCTTGAGCGAATTGCCTTGTTTGCTCATCTGCCAAGAGCAATAACAATAGTATCTACTCCACTGTTTTGAGGTTTAAATGAATTATTTCATAGGAAACAGAACAGCAGCTAAGACATAAAAAGTATGCTGTAAAAGTTAGTTATGTATGTAATATGCATATATATATATATATATATACACACATACATACATACAATGGACTGAGTATTTGTGTCTCCCCCAAATTCATATGTGGAAATCCTAATTCTCAATGTGATGGTATTAGGTAGTGGCTCCTTTGGGAGGTAATTAGGTCATAAGGGTGCAGCCCTCATGAGTAGGATTAATGCTCTTATACAAGGGACTTTCTGGGGTGAGTACACAGTGAGAATATCTCAGTGTGTGACCCAGGAAAGAGTTTCTCATGAGAAACTTGGCACCCTAAACTTGGACTTCAGGCCTCCGATACTATGAGAAATAAATTTCTATTGTTTATAAGTCACCCAATCTATGGTGCTTTGGTATAGCAGCTCAAACTGACTAAGACAATATCTAAAATGATTTTCATTTTTTTAAATGTTATTGCTCCTGCTGATGGGTGGACAAAGAATGGGGAACATGAAAGAGAGGAAGCAGGTAGACACATTGGGATAATGTATTTAGTAACATAGAATAGAAATATTGAAGGCCTGAAATAGGAGGGCAGAAGTAGGCATGGTGGGAAGGAAATGGATTAAGATAGAGTCTGGGCATAAATAAGCTGGATTTCCTGATGGACTAGATTGGAAAGTGAGGAGAAAATAGATCAAAAAGGGATCTGAAACTCTTCAAAATAGCCAAAAGGTAGCAATAACCCAAATGTCCATCAGTGATGAAGGGATAAATTATGGTGCATACATACAGTGAAATACTATCTAGCCACAAAGAGAATGAAACATTAAAATGTGCTACAGTGTAGATGAATCTTCAAACATGCTTAGTGAAAGAAGCCACACACTGGACTGGGTTAAAGAGTAGAAGAAAGATCAGGAGGCAGAAGCAATTTGTTGGGCTATGTATTTGGAATTTGGTTATAAAGGAGAACAGAAAAATAAGGGAGGAACTGACACAGTATGTATGGTTATGCGGGGGAAGAAAAGTCTTAGGGAAATACTGCAGCATGCCTGTATGATAAAGGGGGTGATTAAATGAACAGTGAGATGTTACTGCTGAGGGGAAGCAGGAATAACTCGAGGAGCCAAGTCTTTGATAACGCAAGAAGTAACAGAATCCAGAGCAAAAGTGGAAACATATCCCTCCTTGGTGGAGGAGGAGCACTTCCTTCATTGTGGAGGAAGGAGAATCGGGATGCAGATGCACCAAGTTGGCAGGTTTCGTGGTGGGAAGATGAATGAATTCATTTTCACTGACTTCTGTTTTCTCAATGAAGTATGAGTCTGGGTCATCAGTAGGAGGAGGATGCGTGGGAGGTTTGAGGAAAAAGGAGATGCTATGGTACCGTCATCTCAGTGATGGAGAAACTTAATAGGATTCCCGAGCAACTCTGAGTGCCTGCTTGAGGTTTCTGAATTCTGAATCAGTCTTCTTCCCTTTGTGATTTTTTTCCCAACGAAGTTGTGTTTTGGGTTTGGACAAGGAAAATAGGGAAAGAATCCGGCAACCTTAGAATAGCTGTCATGATTCACCCTGGACCTGTCGTATTCTGCTTCCTGCTCACTGGCTAGTGGGTACTGAGGGAAGTTCAATAAGCCTATCTGTTAAATATAGAAGGAGAGAAACACCAGCATCAAGATATTTTGTGCCTGGACAGCTGCCAGCAATACTAACAAGGTTATGTCCAAATCCTTGGCCCCAACTAGGCATCCAGTAAGAAACAGTCTTGTAACCACACTTGCACTGATGATTGGAAACAGTTGCCATGGAAATTGCCATATTAAAAAGGCCAAAGTTGTTTCAGGAGCTTCAGTGAAGCCTCCCTAATTGGTATGAGTTATATCTGAATTAAAAGATAAAATATAGAAGAGATGGAAAGCAATGCAGTTGTGTTTCTTTCCAAGTATACTGCGATCTATGTGTTTGAGCTAACTTGTGTCACAATCAGTTCCCAATGAGTGGGGTCTAAATTAATTGCCTGATAAAGGAAAGTGAGAAAAGAAAAAATAGAAACCCTGTAAATCTCAACTGCAATCACTAAAATAAAAAGTAGGATACGAAGAAAGGATGGATTTTAATGGTGCCAGAAAAGGCTTTCATAGAGATTTATTGAAGAAGGAATATTGTAGCAACTGACATTCTCATTCTGGATCAGACGAATCCTGTGCTATCCTTTGGGACTTTTCTTGTCTGTCTTTCGTCACTTCATTTAGCGAGGCTCATATGTCCTCCCCTGCTTCTCACCATCTGTCCACACCCACTCCCCCTTCAGGAATCTGCTCTCTCTTCTCATTGTGCTTCAGGTGTCGGTTTAACAAACTCTCCAGGAAGATTTTCTAGGTGCCACTCAGCCCTTTTTATGCTCTGTCTTTGGAGTATGCTTTCTTGAGAACACTTATTACTACTATAATTATGTTTGGGGGAAAATTGTTGAATAGCCGTCTATTTCTGCTAACCACAATAACTTCTTAGCATACAGAGACCAGTACATAAGTGTAGAAGGAAAGAAAGAAAGGAAAGGGGAGAAAGGAATAGAAAAGGGAGGAAGAACAACAGGGATGTCGCTCAACCTACAAACGTTTTCTCCTTCCTTTGAATTCATAGGAAATTGTTTCTGCGCCCTGTGCTTACTACTTAAATACGTACTACTCTGATACATCACTGGTGTTTTCTGACATACAAATACTGCACACATTGTAAATATTAAATGAACAAGACTCATGCCATTTATATGTAAGAATATCGAAAGTACCACATGCTTAGAATGGCATCAAACATGCCCTTGAACACATGATAACTTACGTGAGTCTCCAAGTGTTTTATCTGAAAATATTCTTGAATGTGAACTTTCCATGGAGTAATATAACCCTTAAATACTCTAATTGCCATGTAAAAGTAGCAAGGGGTTCCTACTTAACTTCTTTGCCTTCGTCATCTATCACTCTCTGCCTTACACGTTAAGCTCTATTAATTCTGGACAATCCATAATCCTGCAGAGGCCTTTCCTTTCTTCTAGTTGCAATGTTTTCTTCTGGAGACCAATGTCTACTCACTCAAGACTTACTACATCCTTCACATCATCCAGGAAGCCCTCTGGCATTCCCACCACCACGTCTGTCTTTCCTGAATTACTGTATGGGTCCCCAGTTCACTGTAGGGCTGTGTCTCTCTTATCTTTGTATTCTTAGGGCTTAGTGCATAGGTTGTCAATAAACATTGATGGAACCGCACGGTTTTTAATAATGAAGCTACACCTTTCATAGACTTCACTCAGCCTTCCTGAATATTGTTTTGAGGGCAATTATTTATTGTCATTTAAAAGATGACTGCATTATGAGAGGCTTAATATCTACCAGAAATAGATTTTTTCACAATAAACCACCTTTAAAAAATTTTTTTTATCTTGGTTATACAATCCTGTGCCAGAAATTTCACAAAATTATTCATTCCTGTAAAAATTACTTTCAAGAGTATCATACCAATTTTGTCCACAGAAAGTGGTATTATCTTCTACCACATTGTAAGAAAAAAATGGTATGAGGGAGACATCTTGAAGATAAGAATGCATGCTCTTAGTACAAGTAAGGATTCTCAGCACTGTCCTCTCTCTTCTTCACCCCACTCCCTTTGTCCTTCCATTTTTCCTTCCTTTGTTCTCTTCCACTTCCCCTATGCTTTCCAACTGCCAGTGACATATGGGACTTACTTAGACCCACTTAGAGCAATCGTGAGTTTTACGTTTGCTGATTGCTTTTCTAGCGTGAGGATTTAGACAGCAAGGGAGTACAGACTGGGATGTGGGCTTATGTTCCCAGGGTCTAAATGACACCAAATCAGAAAAGAAATGCATTGGTGAAACTGAAAAGAGACTCATTTTTACTTTTAA